GTGCCGCTAAATAGTGGTGGCCTATTAGATGATTGTCCCTCGGGTAAAGAATAACTAGGGGTTGCCATAATCTACTCTAAGACGGTTAAGTCACACAAACTAGAGTTTAGGCTCTGATACCAATTGTTATCCTAAGTAGGCAACCCAAGAGGGGGGGTGAATTGGATTATTAAAAATTTCACAATATTAAAATTAACACCATATTCAGAATTTTAACAAATAAAAAAAACAGAATAATAATTATCAAAAGTAAGAGAGATAGGGAGAGAAAATCAAACACTGAGATTTATAGTGGTTCGGTACGCTAGGCCTACGTCCACTCCCCAAGGAACCTCCTTGAGGATTTCTTTACTATCAATTGAATAAATACACTACCAAGTTTGTGGATTTGGCACATGATTTACTCTTATCTATTGAGCCTCACTCAACAATAAATGCCTTACCCTTACAAAATCTCTCACAAAAATGAGAAATAAGAATAAGTAGTACTTAAACCCTCTTTTACAATAATTCTCTCACAAAGAGTAGATATGAAAGTGTAAAAACAAAGGCTAGACTTAGATCTGAAAGTGAAAGAGCAGAATACAATATACTCAGAATTTTGGAGTTCACAAAAAACTTTCTCTTCAAGTTCTTGATTTTTCTCCACACACAACACTTCTATTTATACACAAAAATATACCCGTTGTACGCTCCTTGCCGATGTCATGGCTTATATAAGCACGTTGCTGATGTCATGGCTTACATAAGCATGCTGCTGACGTCATGGCTTACATAAGCACGCTCCTTGATTTTAAATAGTCAGCAAATGTTAACAATTAAAAAGATAAAAGTAAAACTATTTTTTTTTTTTTTTTTTTTTTTTTTTGTTTTTTCAAATATGGAGCCACCGTTTTCATAGATAATTTAATACAAAGTTTACAACTTTCAAACAAGCAAATGATTTGTTCTATCTTGTTTTATTATAATATATAACTCCATATTTTTCTTCTTGTTTTATTATAATATGATATAATCAATGTAGTATAAAAAATTTAATTTCTCACGTGATATATTCTATTTATATTATATGCATTCTATATAATATTCCAATCAAATATTTGTATATATAGTAAAATCCTTTTAAGTAATATTTATAATAGATCTGATCATTTATACTCTTTTTCTGTATATGTTGTAGAGATTTTAAATTAAATATAACCTTCCACTCCATATCAATTTTGTCAAAAGAAGACAACCCATTAATACCAAATTTGTCAAAATAATAGAACCAATTAATATCAAATTTGTCAAAAGATGAATAGTGATCAGCCTAATTTTTCAAAAAGTGAATAGTAAAGTTTTCAAAAATATTTTTTATTTAAATAATATTTAACAAATGTATCATACAATATATATTTTAAATAGAAAATATTTTGTGTCAAATAATATAAAATATGTATATTATTTACAAATTTTCAATTAATATTTTAGACATCATCAAAATTAAACAACATGATTAACACATACATAGATGCTAGGGCTTATTCCAAAATGCCTAACCTCGTTAGGACTTATTCCGAAAATGCCTAGCCTTGCTAGGACTTATTCCAAGAATGCCTAACGTCGTTAGGACTTATTCCGAAAATGCCTAGCCTTGCTAGGACTTATTCCAAGAATGCTTAACCTAGTTATGACTTATTCCAAAAATGCCTAACCTAGTTAGGACTTATTCCAAGAATGCCTAACTTCGTTAGGACTTATTCTGAAAATGTTTAGCCTTGTAAGGAACTACCAAAACACCAACTTGCTTATTGGCAAGTAAAAACTGCTCGGCAAGGAATCCCACTGTTTGGACAAACCACCAACCTGCTTTACAATTTTTTTTTCAAAGTTGGTCAAACCTGCCAACCCACTTTGCCAAGCAAAACCCGTTTGACAAAGATTTTTCAAGTTGGTCAAACCTGCCAACCTACTTTGCTGAGCAAAACCCGTTCGACAAAGATTTTTCAAGTTGGTCAAACCTACCAACCTACTTCGCCAAGCAAAACCCGCTCAACAAAGATTTTCAAAATTGGTCAAACCTGCCAATCTACTTCACCAAGCAAAACCCGCTCGATAAAGATTTTTCAAGTTGGTCAAACCTGCCAACCTACTTCGCCAAGCAAAATCTGCTCAACAAAGATTTTCAAAATTGGTCAAACCTGCCAATCTACTTCACGAAGCAAAACCTGCTCGATAAAGATTTTTCAAGTTGAAAGGTAAAAGTTCCACAACAATCTTCTCATTTGGGCATGACAACATTGGTGGGAGATATATTTATCTTTTCCTCAGAAATTGGCCTACTTAAGCTGGGATTTGATACAAAACAAGAAGAATTATCAAGGGATTTATCCTCACTAACAACCTGAGTAGGAACCTCAATATCTGTAGTGGAATATTTTAACTGTTCCACAACAAGTTCAGGTTCCCTATGGATGACGCCTCCTTCCAATCTCTCTGGCTTTTCACTGCTACCATCATAAGGTATACCTTCTAAGCCATTTATTTGAGAAGGAATACATTGATCATCACCTGGTAGCTCTCATGCCTCCATCACAGTATTCAGGTCCCAGTGTAACCTTTTATCTTTCACAGAAGCAGGTTCCTTTCCAACCTCCTCACAATCTTTCTTATTGTGAAAATTCTGTGACACAGCCTCAGAATCATCTTGAACCAATGAAACATCTATATTAGATTCGTGTGCTGAATCTTTATGTAACAAACTGCCTGTTTCCAAGGATGCAGATGATTTTTCCAAAGGCGTAGTAGATACATAAGAGCCAATTCCTTCTGGTGTCAAGGATTCATTACATATTGGACCCTCCTTAACATTATGACAATCATCACTAAAGCTGTTATTGCAAGCAACAACAACAAGAAGTGCAATACCTGAGAAGTCTTCGGTGCAATCAAGCTTTTCAATTACATCAGAAAGATTCTGACTCACAAATCTATTTTCAATACCTTGACTGAACTGTACCGCCATATGACCATTAAATGCCCCCATTTCCTGGTTGGAAACTAAATCTGAACACCATTGACCTGAAGCACATTTACTGTCTATAATTTGTTTAGAATCTTCAGGTTGTGGAAAAGGGGTCTAAGGTTGATATGATAAAACCTCTTCTTGTAGTGGTGAAGGAGTTCAAGGTGGTGGTGATGGGGACCGAAATAGAAATATCCTTTTCTTAATTGGTACATGCTCAATTTTATCAGCAGAATGTCTCCAAGAACAGCTACACCAAGCTTCTCTGACTCAGAAACTGTTGACTCCTCTGTTTTAGTGCCCTTATCATCTAGTTACATACCCATGTTCAGGCTCGTAGTTCGTTTCCTAGATCGCCTAGATGCACTTCTAGAGCCTTTTGCCACAGTCTTCCAAGACAACTTAGTATCGATAAAATTTGTATTTTGGAGACCGACGGTGTTAAGCATGCTTGCAGCTGCAGGACCTAATGCATCAGCTAACGATCTGCCACAAGTCTTGCAAGATATCTTGACTACTTGTTTTCTTTTTATACTTCAGTCCACAGAAGATGCCAACCCCGCGCAAGTACATAAGTGATTCATGGATTCATACCCCCCTTTAGTCCCCGTTTAAATTGATATAATGAATTCCTTTCTAGCTACCACAGAGCACCGTTCAAAGCGGCCACACTGTTCTCTCGATCAAAATCGCTGCGATTGATTATTTGACCAAACAATAAAACAACAGAAAAGAGCGATGATAGATCTCCATTAACAAATCTTCAAACGAGATTCCGATTCTTCTTCTTCTTCTTCTTTTTCTTCTTGTCTTACTCTTCAAGGCTTCTTCACTGAATTTCATCGATTCCCACAGACGGGGCCAATTGTACGGGCAAAGAAAAATCACGTACTTGTTGATAAAGAAATCCAACGAAGAAGATGAATAGCACCACCACACAATCGCTATCTGCAAGACAAAACACCCCCAGCCGTAGCCGGGGGTCCTCCGACGCCCAAGCCAGTCCTCCAATATTATCAAAATATTTAATGAAGTAATTCATAGAGAGAAATTGTGTACCTCAACCCATGAGGGTGTTGCCTATTTATAATATCTAGTGACTTACTTAGCAAGTAGTTTGAATGTTCCAGAAGTCTTATCCCAAACAATCTCTGATTGTTGAGGACTTCTATATCGATAAGATTTTATATCCTAATGAGTTTTGCACAACATAAAACACTAATGCAGTGTTTGATAAGAATTTGATAACTGTCATACACATGATAATCCATAACCATGCTACGTGGCAATGCCTGGACCCACATAATTCTTGTGGTTATTTTTATTCCCTTTCAGCGGTGGACCAACAATTGACTAATACATTAACACGACCAATTGGTACTAAGGCAACGAAAGAGAAGTTGAAGAATCAAACAACTCATGATGGTAGAGTTGATGAAATGACTGCCAACCAATCCAAAATTGTTGAAATATTATCAATTATCTCCGCTAGAACTGTTGAGCAAGATGAACAAAAGGCGATAGACCATGAACAGAAGGATGCAGAGCGTCGAAGAAGGGTTGAGGATAGGGAGGAACAACTAAAACTTCTATCTGTGATGAATGAAAGAGAACAACGAAATGAAGATCATAAAATAATGTCAATGGACATAACAAATTTAAATCCTATGCAAAGGGCATACTACGAATAGTTTCAACGACAAATATTATTTCGAACAACTAATAGATTTCTTTGACTCTGTCGGTATTGGTGGGTAGTATTGGTTTTATTATTTAAAAACATTAATAGTGGGTTGTATTGGAATTATTTGTATTCATTTTTTTTTTGATAACATATATTTGTATTGATTTGATTTTAACATGCTTATAAATATGTGGTTGGTAAAAAATGTATCATTCACATATTTATTTGCCAATTGTTCTGTGTTTAGTAAAAAATTCTGTACATTACTAATGTTTAAATTACCATCAGCAAATAAAGGAAGCTACTATATTATAAAAGACAGAACTACTACATTTATAAAACAAAATGACCCAACAAAATAACAAAAGGTTGTTAACAAAATAGAAAACAACGAAAATACATAATGTAAAAATGCATTCTAAAAACAAACAAAAATCACATAAATTGTTCTTGTCATCCAAGCTGTCATCGAAACACATCAACAGTCATTGTCTGGTGGTGGTAAAAGGAAGTAGTGATGGTAGATGTCATTTACACGATACTCAATCCTATCCATGCGATTGCTTGCCACTTCATTACGTCTTTCAATGTCCAAACGGAACTCACCAAATTGTTGAATTAATGAGTTCTACACAGTGGCAAATGCATCGTACTGAGTATTCAACGAACTGACCTGATTAGCCATTTGTTGTTCCCATTGAACGTGCTGATTATGTCGTTTTTCTTCCATGGCCAAACACTTAGTCCAATATTGAGGTTGTTTAGTTGATGGCATTGCATTGGCATGAGGATCTTCTGGAGCATCATCTGGTGGGACATGTGCATTAAGACTTCCTATTAAATTGTCGGCTCCACCAGCACGGGTCTGTGTATATTCCGAAATGACTGAAGAGATTTTGGTCTCTGTTTCTCCTACAAGGCGAACCCTGAAATGTTTTGAAAATTTTAGTAAGTAGTGCCCCGAAAAGTAATGACCGCCCCATGAATTGACCAAGATTTGCATACATCATTTCTTTCATTATTATGTAGCACAATATTGAGCTGATATAGAGGGTCAATAAACGAGGTAGGTGGTGGAGGAAATTAGTGTGGTTGGTAAATTGGTTTAATAAATTAGTTGGATAGTGGTGTGTGTTATGAGGCATTGACCATCAAATGAGGCTTGTATGCCACATCTGAAAACAAATTGAGTTGTCAAATTTGTATTGTACAACTTCATTGATTTGTCAAATTAATGAGGTATTAAATATTCATGATGTATTGAATAAATGAATTTCCAAATTTATGAATGAATTTTTAAATATAAGACTTTCAACATCAGTAAGCCTGTGGTAATTATTTTGTAACTGATTAAGACATGATTATTAAAAACTATAATTCTTTGGTAATTTAATATATGTGGATATATATAAGAAGACAACATTAATAAATTATGAATTGGATAATCTTGGATAATCAGCAAAGAACATTTATCAATTGTCAAATTTATAGATTGGATTATCAGAACAAAACATCAGAACAGAACTTGTCAAGTACTTGGATAATATTGACAAAATTATGAAGCGCACTAACAACAAACAGTAGCTGACAACCTCCTATTCCAAAAAATAAGCAAAATTACATGTTTGCGTCAACGTGGTGAATTTAGTTTTCACCGTGAAAATGCCACATATGTTCTATTAAATCATTACGGAGGGCATGATATGCATCTTTATCTCTAATACTTAAATGACGAGATAGAAATGATTAGAAGTCATTGTTAGTATTACAGGAAAGTTGTACTGGTGCGTTGGTTAATGAAAGTTCATAATTGAAATCAAGGTGCTCATCTCTCTCATCTTCGACAATCATATTATGTAATATAACATAACTCTTCATTATGTTCCCAAGTATTTTCGGATTCCAAAAACGTACAGCACCACCTATAATTGCAAATCAAGATTAAAGCACTTCGAATTCCCGCTCTACATCCTTCCTTGCTAACTCTTGCATCATTGCAAAATGTTGTTTCTTTGCTCCTTGAGGAGAAGAGATTGTTTGAACCAGTGTTGCCTATTGAGGGTATATACCATCAATAAGGTAATAACCCATATTATAATTGTGTCCATTTATAGTGTAATGGACAGGGGAAGCTTTACCTTGAGCAAGATCAGAAAACAAGGGCGATCAATCCAACACATTCAAGTCATTGTATGATCCAGACATTCTAAAAAATGCATGCCAAATCCACAAGTCATAAGAAGCTACTGCTTCAAGAATGATTGTTGGCTTTTTTTGATGGCCTACGTATTGACCTTGCCATGCCTTTGGATAATTTTTCCACTCCCAACGCCTGCAATCTAAGTTTCCCAATATACCCGGAAACTGCCAAACCTCCCTAATAGCAAGTAATTTAGCAATATCAGTTGGTGTTGGAGATCTCAGATATTCTGGTCTGAAGATTTCAATTACTGAATTACAAAAGTGTTGCAAACTTTGCATTGCAGTGCTTTCCCCAATACGTATATAATCATCAACTGCATCTGTTGCCACTTCATATGACAATATTCTCATAGCTGAAATTGTCTTTTGTAGGGGAGACAATCTAAGAATATGAGCTGCATCTTGTTTTTGAACAAAATATGGATTGTGTGCTTTGATGACATTCAAAATTCGCAGATACAAAGGACGACGCATTCGAAAACATCTCCGAAATGTTGTAGGTGAATAAACTAGATTTGCCGCAAAATAATCCGCAAACAATCGCTCATGGCCCTTTTTTCTATCGCGACGTATGTACTTATGGCCTACAACAGAACCACCAATTTTCTTTGATCTATCAGTTGATTGCAGAATTTGAATCATGCTAGCATTATTCATCTCATAAGCCCCGAAAGTGTGACCATTTTTTCATTATCAGACTCGTCATCAGAGTATGAGGAAGAAGAAGAGGATGAAAATGAAGTGAATATCATGGAATTTAAGATACTCATTATGCTCTGTTTTTTTTCAATTATGGTGCCTTTCAGATCTAACGCACCACTTGTCTGGTATATGGTACATGGATAATGTGTTTATATTAGGTTTTGAAAGGAAATCATTATTGGAGGCAACAAAAAATGAAAAATGTGTAATGGAGGGAAAAAGAAATAATAAATGATTTGGGAACAGAAGGGGAGGGGGAAAAAAAAAATTTGAGTTAGCTACCTGGTCAACCAGCTGGTCGTTCCACCGGACGTCCTCTTTGTTTTAATGCATGCTACAGTGGAACGATTGGAGCTGCTCGTATCGGATTGAGAAAATTATCTTTTTTTTACTCAGATTTAGTGAAAATTTTACTGAACCATTGGAGATACTCTAAAAAAAATTATAAAAGTAAAAAAAAATGAAGAAAATACAACTCAGTGATATTTTTTTTAAAAAATTTTATAGATTAATGAAAAAATTTATAAATTTAATTATTAAATTGTATAAGATTTATTACTGAATTCCATTTTAAAAAAAATTATACTAGATTGTGATTTCCACCAAAAAAATCTAGTGAATTTATTTTTTCTTTTTCTTTTTTTCAAATAAAAAAGTTAGTTTTTTTAACCTTTTCTTAAATAACGGTCCAGTTAAGTTTGGCAAAGGCTTAAAAATTAGTTTTTTTTTTTAAAAAAAAAAATAATAAAATTAGAAGCTGTGGCTAAAATAGTTAAAGTATTTATGAACCAAGTAAAAAAAAAATAAATAAATACTTCAATGGCTAAAACTTGGTTAATAGAAATCTTTTATGTAGTTCAAGTGAAAAAGTTTTTTTTGGTTACAAAAGTTTAAACAATAAGTTTATGCATACATAAATCTAACATAGAATGAGATATAGATTTTATAAGGAATAAATGCTCGGATAATGTAAAATTTACCTGTAAGACTCACCCTTTATAAAATATTTATTTCTCATTTTTGTGTTTAATTTACATTTCTAACCTTACTCAAAGTCCAAAAACATGCTTTTGAACCTTTGAGCATGCTTGACTTTCATGGGATGAATGATTGCCCTTAAAAAAAAAAAAAAAAAAAAAAAAATATGTGTGTACAGTTCAGGACGACTGGTTCAATCTTTTATCTCTGAACCTTAACATTACTCCAGCACCTGTTTGGGAAGGACTTAGCTAAAATAATTAATAAAAATAAAATATAATAAAATAATTAATAACATAAAATGTTACATTTAACTTATAATTATTTTATTTTTTCTTTCATAATTATCAAATTAAGTACAAAAAAAAATAAATCATTTATGCTTGATTTTGATTTTCAGAATTCACTTTTCATAAAATTTTATTTTTTATTTTTTCGTATTTGTTTTTTATTTTTACTGAATTTTTTTTAATATTTTAAGGAACTTTTTTTAATTTTTAGACACACCTAACATAAATACACTTAAAAAGTATAATTTTTGTAAAAAATCTTTAAAAAATTCACTAAATACAAAAAATACAAAAAATATGCAAATTCAGTATATTTTTTCATATTTTTGTGTATTTATTAATTTTTGAAAATATTTTTTCATAAATATTTTACTTTTCAGATACATCTAAGTAATAAAAAAGTAAATAAATTGCTTAAAATTTTAAAAATATTCATTAAAAACAAAAAAAAATACGAAAAATAAAAAACTCAATTTTTAAAAAATTGAAACCAAACACACTGATCTTTTCAAACACAACTTTTTTAGCTAAGTTAAAATAATTAAAAAGCCAATTAAAATAATCAACTTCCTAAACGAATTTTATGTCAATAATTAGATGGGTTAATATTTTAGGCACTAGTCTTTAAATTATTCATAAAAATAAAAAATAAAAATAAAAATAGATTGATTCAATAATTATAGTTACATGTATTAATATCATTTGATTTAATTAAATTTGTTTAATTGACATATCATTTTGAAAACAAACCACGCCAATTTTATTTTATTTTTAAATAAAAAAAATAAGCGTTTGTTTAACTTATTTGGAGCACACTTGTGTGAGTGATTTCCCGATCACACTGCCCAACTCAGTATTCAGCTGGAGAACACTGACAGAATAGATGACACCTGATTAACTTGTAACAGAAAGAGAAGATTCCGGCGGTGGTTCGTCCACCCGGGGGCACTCCGAAGATCAAGTCAGTATATCTTTCAAAGATAATCAATAGTGCTAAATTCACTGTTCAGAACATAAATTACGTACCTTAGACCCACAGGGGTGCCTCTCTTTTATAGTTAACTCAATCCTAGTCCCGATAAAAGCCTGACTTCTATGGACTCCTATTCAGTGCTTACTTTGAACTCCTCAAGAGATAAGGATAGATTCTCTAAAAACATTATCCTTATCCATCTTGAAGTCTTTCCTCATTCTAGGACTCTTGTCTCTTATCCGCTTATCTCGGATTCCGATATCTTCGGAGATAACCTCGGCCATGCCGAGATCATCTCGGCGTTACGACCAGGACACGTGGAACCTCGGCTGATACATCGGCGTCACCTTGCCACGTGTTGGTACTCAAAAATATATCTCTACAACTGCCCCCTAGGTTCTATTACCTCGGCATCCTTCTGAGGTGATGAAACCCATATCGGTACTTCCTTCCAGTACGTCGGCTTAAATCATTTTAGCCGAGATCATTGTTTAAGGCCGACATGTCTTCCTTAATCAAGAATTCCAGTGAATTCCTTCACTCGTGTGAGCTATCATGTATCACTATTCAATTGTTTCATTCACGCGTCTTATCCTCATTGGATCGTGCTCGTGACGCGCCTGTAAGCCATCTTGCGCCTGCGTGCGCCGTCTGACGCATTCGCTGCTCTAGGCGCATTAACTGCCCCTTTTTGCCGTCGTTTCAAGTTTTAACAAAAATTTTCCCTCTTCTTTCATTTCTTCACTTTTCATTCGATACTCTTGCTTTTTCTCTCTTACTT